AGAAGAAAAGGACCTACAAAAACAAACCCAAAACAATTAAGAAAATGGTAATAGGAACTTACATAATGATAATTACCTTAAATGTGAATGGATTAAATGCTCCAACCAAAAGACACAGCCTCGCTGAATGGATACAAAAACAAGATCCATATATATGCTGTCTACAAGAGACCAACTTCAGACCTAGGGACACATACTGACTGAAAGTGAGGGGATGGAAAAAGATATTCCATGCAAATGGAAATCAAGAGAAAGCTGGAGTATCAATACTCACATCAGAATAGACTTTAACATAAAGAATGTTACAAGAGACAAAGAAGGACACTACATAACGATCAAGGGATCAATCCAAGAAGAAGATATAACACTTATAAATATATATGCACCCAACATAGGAGCACCTCAATACTTAAGGTAAATGCTAACAGCTATAAAAGAGGAAACTGACAGTTACACAGTAATAGTAGGGGACTTTAACACCTCACTTAGGACAATGGACAGATCATCCTGACAAAATTAATAAGGAAACACAAGCTTTAAATGATACAATACAGCAGATAGATTTAATTGATATTTATAGGACATTCTATCCGAAAACAGTGGATTACATTTTCTTCTCAAGTTCACACAGAATATTCCCTGGGATAGATCATATCTTGGGTCACAAATCAAGCCTTGGTAAATTTAAGAAAATTGAAATCATATCAAGCATCTTTTCCGACCACAGTGCTATGAGACTAGAAATAAAGTACAGGGGAAAAAATATAAAAAGACACAAGCACATTGAGGCTAAACAATATGTTACTAAATAACCAAGAGATGACTGAAGAAATCAAAGAGGAAATCAAAAAATACCTAGAGACAAATGACAATGAAAATACGACAATCCAAAACCTATGGGATGCAGCAAAAGTAGTTCTAGGAGGAAAGTTTATAGCAATACAATCCTACCTCAAGAAACAAGAAAAATCTCGAAGAAACAATCTAATCTTACACCTCAAGGAACTAGAGGAAGAACAAACAAAACCCAAAGTTAGCAGATGGAAAGAAATCATAAAGATCAGAGCAGAAATAAATGAAATAGAAACAAAGAAAACAATAGCAAAGATCAATAAAACTAAAAGCTGGTTCCTTGAGAAGGTAAACAAAATTGATAAACCTTTAGCCAGACTCATCAAGAAAAAGAGGGAGAGGACTCAAATCGGTAAAATTAGAAATGAAAAAGGAGAAGTTACAACTGACACTGAAGAAATATAAAGCATTATAAGAAACTACTACAGCAACTCTATGCCAATAAAATGGACCACCTGGAAGAAATGGACAAATTCTTAGAAAGGTATAACCTTCTAAGACTGAACAAGGAAGAAACAGAAAATATAAAGAGACCAATCACAAGTAATGAATTTGAAACTGTGGTTAAAAACCTTTGAACAAACAAAAGTCCAGGACCAGATGGCTTCACAGGTGAATTCTATCAAACATTTAGAGAAGAGCTAACACCTATCCTTCTCAAACTCTTCCAAAAAATTGCAGAGGAAGGAACACTCCCAAACTCATGCTATGAGTACTCATGCTATGAGGCCACCATCACCCTGATACCAAAACCAGACAAAGATACTACAAAAAATGAAAATTACAGACCAATATCACTCATGAATATAGATCTAAAAATCCTCAACAAAATACTAGCAAACAGAATGCAACAACACATTAAAAGGATCATACACCATGACCAAGTGGGATTTATCCCAGGGATCCAAGGATTCTTCAATATATGCAAATCAATCAATGTGATACACCATATTAACAAATTGAAGAATAAAAACCATATGATCATCTCAATAGATGCAGAAAAAGCTTTTGACAAAATTCAACACCCGTTTATGATAAAACTCTCCAGAAATGGGGCATAGAGGGAACCTACCTCAACATAATAAGGGGCATATACAGCAGACCCACAGCAAACATCATTCTCAATGGTGAAAAACTGAAAGCATTTCTTCTAAGATGAGGAACAAAACAAGGATGTCCACTCTTGCCACTATTATTCAACATAGTTTTGGAAGTCCTAGCCATGGCAATTAAAGAAGAAAAAGAAATAAAAGGTATACAGATTGGAAAAGAAGAAGTAAAACTGTCACTGTTTGCAGATGATATGATACTACACATAGATAATCCTAAAGATGCTACCAGAAAACTACTAGAGCTAATCAATGAATTTGGTAAAGTTGCAGGATACAATAATTAATGCACAGAAATATCTTGCATTCCTATACACTAACAACGAAGATCAGAAAGAGAAAGTAAGGAAACAATCCCATTCACCATTGCAACAAAAGAATAAAATACCTAGGAATAAACATACCTAAGGAGGTAAAAGACCTGTACTCAGAAACTGTAAGACAGTGATGAAAGAAATTAAAGGTGACACAAACAGATGGAGAGATATATCATGTTCTTGGATTGGAAGAATCAATATTGTGAAAATGACTATACTACCCAAAGCAATGTACAGATTCAATGCAACCCTATCAAATTACCAATGGCATTTTTATAGAACTAGAAAAAAAATCTTAACATTTGTATGGAGACACATAAGACCCCGAATAGCCAAAGGAAACTTGAGGGAAAAAAACAGAGCTGGAAGAATCAGACTCCCTGACCTCAGACTATACTACAAAGCTACAGTAATCAAGACAATATGGTGCTGGCACAAAAACAGAAATATAGATCAATGGAACAGGATAGAAAGCCCAGAGATAAATCCACACACCTATGGTCAACTAAACTATGACAAAAGAGGCAAGGATATACAATGGAGTTAAGACAGCCTCTCCAATAAGTGGTGTTGGGAAGACTGGACAGCTACATGTAAAAAATGAAATTAGATCACTCCCTAACACCACACTCAAAAATAACTCAAAATGAATTAAAGACCTAAATGTAAGACCGGACACTATAAAACTCTTAGAGGATAACATAGGAAGAACACTCTTTGACATAAATCATAGCAAGATCTTTTTTGACTCACCTCCTAGAGTAATGGAAATAAAAACAAAAATAAACAAATGGGACCTAATGAAACTTCAAAGCTTTTGCACAGCAAAGGAAACTATAAACGAGACAAAAAGACAGTCCTCAGAATGGGAGAAAATATTTGCAAACGAATCAATGGACAAAGGATTAATCTCCAAAATATATAAACATCTCATGCAACTCAGTATTTAAAAAAAAACAACCCAGTTGAAAAATGGGTAGAAGACCTAAATAGATTTCTCCAAAGAAGACATACAGATGTCCAAGAGGCACATGAAAAGCTGCTCAACATCACTAATTATTAGAGAAAGGCACCTCAATACTACAATGAGGTACCACCTCACACCCATTAGAATGGACATCATCAGAAAATCTACAAGCAACAAATGCTGGAGAGGGTGTGGAGAAAAGGGAACTGTCTTGCTCTGTTGGTGAGAATGTAAGTTGATACAGCCACTATGGAGAACAGTATGGAGTTTCCTTAAAAAACTAACAATAGAATTACCGTATGACCCAGCAATCCCACTACTGCGCATATACCTGGAGAAAACCATAATTCAAAAAGACACATGCACTCTAGTGTTCACTGCAGCATTATTTGCAATAGCCAGGTCATGGAAGCAACCTAAATGCCCATCGACAGGCAAATGGATAAAGAAGATGTGGTACATATATACCATGGAATATTACTCAACCATAAAAAGGAACGAAAATGGGTCATTTGTAGAGACGTGGATGGACCTAGTGAGTGTCATACAGAGTAGACACTCTGTATGTAAGTAAGTCAGAAAGAGAAAAACAAATATCGTATATTAATGCATATATGTGAAATCTAGAAAAGTGGTACAGATGAACTGGTTTGCAAGGCAGAAATAGAGACACAGTTGTAGAGAACAAATGTATGGACACCATGGGGGGAAAGTGGGGGATGGGGGTGGTGCTGGGATGAATTGGGAGATTGGGATTGACATATATGCACGAATATGTATAAAATAGGTAACTAATAAGAACCTGCTGTATAAAAAAATTAAAATTCAAAAAAAAGATATGAATTTGATTTGGCTTGTTCTTACTGGACCCGTTCTGACTGCCTCTGGATCAGTCACTTACTCTTATTGGTATGAGATCACTAGTGTGGTCTCTACCTTTTTCCATTTTTATTAGAATTGAGAGAAGATTTGTTCAATTATATGTATGTCATTTCTGTTCTGAAGATCACCCTCCTTGACAGAAAAGGTAGAGATAAAACAGAAATGGGGACTCTCCACTTTATTGTGCTGTGTATTAACTTAATATTATCAGCTCCGATCAGTGCACTTTTTCATTCCTTGGTCTTTCTAGTTCCAAAGGAGGATTCAAAACCTATTTTATTCTGTTTCATCTTCTTAAAAATAATAAACAAGACTTTTACAAATTTTACTTCATTAATGTGCTTGCTTTTATTTTCCGACACTACTCTTTGAACTTTCTGTTAAAGAATTTAAAAAGTATACACTTTTCTTGTTAGACTAACTCTTCTGAAGACCTTTCTGCCTTATCATAAGGCAAAAGAAGTTCAGGCCCTAGAGGTTTGAATTGTAAAATTCACTTCGTCCAGGGATGTTGGGATGTTTTGGCAGACTCCTTGAAGTATTGCTGGCAGTGCTTTCCTGCCTTATAACCACTGTGGTCCTAGGCTATATTTTCTGGGTTTTGAAAGTAGACCCTAGTTGTACTAGGTTGAATAGGCCAGTTTGAACTATTTTCATATCATATGCTTATTTGTTGAATCAATTCATGAAATACACCCCAGTTTAATTATAAAGAAATGTTTATGTGAGGGATCAGTGTTGAAGTTTCCAATACTGGTATCTATGCATGGGAAAATGTGGAAATATTAGAACGATACTGAGTATCATGGCAACATTTGTTAACAAGCAACAGGAAAGCATTAACTCCCTAATAGAAGTTTGCTTTCTCTACAGGAACAAAACTTGAACACTTTGCAAAAATTGGATGGAAAAATCATAAACATTCAGTTAATAACCCGTAAGTATTTCAGAGATATGAAATAGTGAGAATCTGGGTTATCCTGCTATGTAATATGCAACTTTATACTTGAAAAGCAAATGTAAGACCTCAAAGATGTTAACTAGAATGTTTTTCTTCTTATGAAAGGCTTGTGCCCAAGTAAACTTTTGACTACTTTTCAGTTTAGGTTTTGGTCTATTTATATTTAAAATGCCATTTAAGCTTAGTTGCTCTTTTAAGAAAGAATGTGAATGGCTAGCGTTAAAAGATGTAATTGGTCATAGGTTCTAACTCTAGTAAATTAAGTTTATTATAATAATTTTAATTGGAAATAACCAGGCCCCATTTTAAACCATTTTTTAAAACTTTTCTTAGTTTGTTGTGATCAATTAAAATGTCTGTAAAACACGTATTAGTGGTTGTTTTAATTACTTTATATTAAATTATTTGCATTTTAATTATGTTAGTGTCATTAACTCTTACTCTGATAGAATAATATGGTTATTTATATCCTAAAAAATAGTCTGAAGTAAAATTACATCATATGTATTACTGATAATTAATCTTTGAATCCATAGTGCCTAGTGCAATGCATGGCTCATAGCATGTACTTAATGGTTGCTGAATAAAATTGGTTCACTGGGAAATGAATTAGTGCCACACAAGTAGAATCTCTACAAAAGCAAACCACTAGGCAATAACAGAATAGTAGCTAACTTTATTAAATGCCAACTCTGTGTCACTGTGCTAGGTGCTTTTATGTACATTTTCATTTAATTCTCTCAAGGACCCTATAAGGTAGTTATTTTTATTCTTATTTTATAGATGATGAAAATAAGGACTACAGAAATTAGGCAACTTGCTCAGGATCATTCTAAATAGTGGTAAAATAGTGTTTATATTTTTCCTTCTACTAGATTATAAACTCCTTGAGGGCAAGAGCCATCTCTTATCTTTATGTTCTTAATGCTTAGCACAGAGTCTGGAACATAATCAGTGCTCAGTAAATTGTTTCTGAACTATTAAACAAATTTTGCCATGTTTAATAAACATAAAAACATGATAAGGGACATTTTATACCACAAGTGAGTCATTACCACATATTTCTATGCTACTACTTGTTCTCCTCATTCTTCTGATTTTGAATTGATATTTGAATTCAGGGTATACCTAATTAACAAATAATATCTACTCCCATGCCCTAAATTTAGTGGTATTTTGTGAAAGATCTAAGGGTATTGTGGAAGCTTTGGTTAATTCCCTTGCTTATATAATAAAATAGAAATTCCTTCATATGAGATAACAAGCCTGTTATAATTTGGCCTCGTTCTACCTTGCTGGTCTTATTTCCTGCCACTTCCCTGGTTATTCTCAATCTCATCTCTCACAAGATTACTTGGTATTTCTTAAGTGTATTATACTGTGCTTGTTTCTGTGTTTTTAGTTATGCTGTTAACTCTCCCTGGAATATCCTTCTGCCCTTCTTTTGTTTGGCAAGTATCTACTTACTCATCAAGTCTCAACCCAAATATCATTGCTTCTCTTAGTACCTTCTTAAATAGGCATAATTATTTTTTCTCATGAGCTTCATTGTACTGTCTGTATATGTCTGTTACAACATATCACACTGTATCATACTTATTTATAAATCTTTCTCCTCTGATGATGATGATCCTTGAGCAGAGATTATGTCTCATCTTTATATCTTCAGTACCTAGTAGGGTATTGGAACATAGTATATGCTCAATAGAACTTTGCTGTTACTGAATAGTAGTTAGGATAAGCAGTCTTAAGCCCATAAATATGGTCTAGAGCTGATTTCTTTGTCCTTAGAACTTGGAGGACCATTAAACATCCTTGTGATTTCCTGAAACTAGTAAGGAACTGTACCAACATATTGAGGAGTTGACAGTATGCAGTTTCCTGGCTTTGAGGCTCCAAAGAGCAGCTCTTGACCTTCCCCAGAGAAGCAAAACTTCCAAGTCTTTCTTTTACTTAACTCCCTGCCTAACCAGGTACTCATTTATCCACTCATTACAGTATTCTTCTAAAGGATTTTCATTCACTCAGCTATTATGTATTCAGTAGCCTACTATGTGCAAGACGCTGGTAAAGCTACTAGTGATATAGCAGTGAACAAGATGGGTAAATTCCTTGTCCTCATGGATCTTCTGCTATGTATTATAAGTTCTCAATTATGTTGAATAGGCAAATGTTATTTCTGAATGTCAGCTTCATCATTTAAAACTCACTGAAACAACCAAGAATAGCCTTCTAGGTTTGGCTCAAATTTCAGATGCTAACTTCTTACACTAGGTTTTGCTTGACTAGTGAAGAAAGATAATGCTGTGTTTGCTGACCAGTCATTAGAGATAACCTGTTACATATTTCTAGGAAGGTTGAGTTAAGAACCTTCTCAAGTGCTTCCTCACAGATTATAAGAATACCTAAAGGCAGTGAGAATCTGTGATCAGTAGTATAAGATTAGGGATAGCTTCTGCCACTTGAGCCTTCAGACCTGTGTCTATAACTCTCCCTCCTTACTATCTCTTGAATTCATTACTTCTTTCCATCTTTTTTTTTTTTTTAATTTTATTTTTTGGCTGCACTGCACGGCATGTGGGATCTTAGTTCCCTGACCAGGGATCGAACCCACGCCCCCTGCATTGGAAGCATGGAGTCTTAACCACTGGACCTCCAGGGAAGTCCCGCTTCTCTCCATCTTTTACTTCCAATTCCCTATTTTAGGCCCTTATCATTTCTTGCCTTAATTATTGCCTCAATCTCTTAGTTGGTTTACTTGCTTTTGGTAATGCCTTTTTAGTGTCCCTTTTCCATACCACAGCTTTCTTGCTGAAATACAAATCTGGTCATGTCACTCCCAGCTTAATATCCTTTAGTAGTTCCTAATTGTTTTCAGTATAATGTAAACACCGTATACTGGCCTTTCATGATCTGATCCTTGTTCATGTCTCCTGCCCCCTCTTCTTCATCTTGCCTCCATATTCCTTCCCAGATGTCACGCTCTAGCTTCAATAAACTGTTTCACCTCAAGAGGCTTTGCATGTGCTGACCCTTTTGCCAGGAATTCTCTACCTCCTATTTCCTCTTATTTGCCTAACCTCAGAGAGGAAGCCCCCTTTGGTATCTGGGTTTGATGTGTATCCTGTTGGTCCCATGGCACCCTGTATAACATTTCTGTCATGGCATTTATCATACTAGAATGGTGTATTTATTGCTGTGGATTCAGACTGAGTGCCTTGAGGGTAGGGACTATGTCCATGTCCCCACTGTCTAGTACAGGATCTGGCTTAAATAAAGCATGTTTTTGAAAGTTGGTGATGGTCAAAGTTAGCTTCAGAAGCAAAGGTGCAGACAGTAGTATGCAGATCTAAGTTACATGGGCTGGATTTCTAAACACTGGAATTGCTTAATTTCCATACCAGTTGAAGTTTGCTTTTAGAAACTCCCTTATTGTATCTATTTGTGCTGCTGTCTTTCCAGAGCAATTTCTAAAACCATCTGATTATATTGTTAGAGGCACCAAAGGGGATGAAAATAAGTTTCTTCTTGGCAGTGATGAGAAAGGAAATGTGTTTTGAAGAATGCAGATATTTTATTATAGGTTTTATACATTTATTTAAGAATGCCATTAGCTTTCATTAAATGTAGTTGTATAATATTATCACCACAAAAGTCGGCTGAATTGCAAGTCATTTAATTTTGCTTTTAAGGAACTAATATTTTTGTAATTCTTCAGGAAAAAAAAAGGTATTTTATTTTAACCTGCAACTGGTTTGACACCAACTGCGTGTACTGCAATTTAATTCTGGTACCTGCCACCCAGAGTTAATGCAGACTCTATGAATTAAGACTTCACAAGACTGCTGTCACTTTAGATGCCAGATGAAGTAGGATCCCCAGGCCACCTGCACTTCTGACCAACTGGCTATAAATTCAGTGGTTCCCATGATCCTCTCATGTTTGATAATTCACTAGAATGACTCACAGAACTCAGGAAAGTACTGTACTTACTGAGGAACAGCCAAATGAAGAGGCACATAGGATAATGACTGGGAAGGTTCCTAGTGCAGAGCTTCCATGCCCTCTTCCCATGGAGTCAGGGCACAACACCCTCCTGTGAAGGTACTCGGCAACCAGGTGGCTTCACCAAGCTTCAGTTTCTAAAGTTTTTATTGGGGCTTCATTATACAGGCATATTCAATTAAATCATTGGCCACTAGATCTCTAGGTCCCCCTCTTCTCCCTAGGGGTCAAACTGGTTCAATAGTCCCAATCTTGTATTCGCATGGTTGATCTTTCTGGTGACCAGACCCCTGGCTCATCCCTCCCTTATCCCCCAGCTAACAAGGGGACCACCACAAGTCACCTAATTAGCATAACAAAGACACTTCTATTACTCAGGAAATTCCAAGGGTTTTAGAATCTCCATGCCAGGAACCCAGGACAAAAATTAGACAAAAGTTTTTTTATACAACATGATATTTTGGAGTTAGGAATTTTAATAATTCAATTCAAATGACTTATTTATTGTAGATTGAAATGGTTTATTGAAAACCTATCTTTCGTTTGTGAAAAGAGTATTTATGTGTTATTCTCTCTTTAACTTCTGGACCAGAACATCTTCAACAAAAATTGTGATTGCTACCTCACATTCTGTAACTACTTATTTTATATTTAGGTATTCCCAGTTCCAAAAGGAGTACAGTTTAGATGAAGTGATGGCATCTCAAAAAATTTTTGATTTTTTGACTATCTTACAATGTTGGTAAGAAAAACACATTTTAATATTTAATAGAAGTACTGTGCCTTCTCCCCACCCCGCCCCCCCATCCCTTGGGTAGACTGTAGGCTCTGTATCTGGGTATATCTATATCTGTATCTGCTTTTATAGAACTCCTACCAAGTATAGTCCTTACCCTGGAGTGAGCACCCTTGCTTCCTATTCCTGTCTAGACACAGATTGTCTTTTCTCTTGGAAAATTACATATTTTACTTCCTTTTCTCATGACTTCCAGCTACTCTGTTTTAATAGTATTTATTCATTTAAATGTGGCTTGGGAGGCCAGTGGAGTCCAAAGGTTTTTCCCTTGACCATTTTGTTTTCTCTGCTGTGTATTTCTACTGTAGGAAATTTTACTCAATCATACTAACTACGAGTAAAGGTAAAACAAGAAAAAAAATCAAAGCTCTAATAATGATAGTAACTCTGTCTTGAAAATTGCTTGACAATATCTGTCTCCTGGAAGACTGAGTTAGTATTGCATAGCTCCTAGCTGTGCCTAACTCTCACCTGGATGTGTCCTGGAGTTACTGTCTGGGATGCAAGTGAACAAGTGACGTCCATTTTTATCTGTAGCAGTATGAGTGTCTGCCCATTTTTAAAGTACAGCTCAACTCACAGAAGGCTTCTTGTGTCTGCTGCCTTCCTTCACAGCTGCTCTAAGGAAAAGGTCTATTTTGAGGAGATCTCAAGAGTCTTAACCAAACCATGGGCTTTCTGGTATCTCCTGTTCCATCCTTTCCCAGTTTCCAAAAGGATTCCAAGACTGATTATTTGGGAGATAGCAAAGTTGGAGCTAGTTAGGCCTATAGTAGAATCTTTATTAGCTCAGGAATAACCTTGTGGACTCCTCAGAAGTCACCAGAAAATACCTTATGTATTTGCAGAGGCAAATCTGGGATTCTTTGCAATAAGAACTTTTTGGGAGAGACCTTTAGAGACCAAGCAGTGACTGATAGCATTTAAATTCTTGTTAGAAGTTCAGTCTTCAGGTGTGAAGCATGTATAATTTTTAACTGCAGATATTACAAAGACAGTCCAGTGACCAGCAAGCATACACCCAGCCTTTCCACACTGAAAGAACTCCTAGACTGAAATCCTAAGACCGAGGTGAACCACGTATAAATAACTATTTTCACCTCCTCTTAGTCCCACTTCAGATGGTGCTGCAGCGGCAATTTTGGCTAGTGAAGCGTTTGTACAGAAGCACGGCCTGAAATCCAAAGCTGTGGAAATTTTGGCTCAAGAGATGGTGACTGATATGCCAAGCACGTTTGAAGAAAAAAGCATTATTAAAATGGTGTGTCTGAGATTCTGTTTTATTAATCAGTCAAGGGATTTCTTTTTCAAAATTTCAAGGTGACATCATGTCATCAGCTCTGAACGTTATTTACTTGAAAAAAATTGGTCTAGAAAATTTAATATTATAATCCATCCTTAAGAATCTGTTAAGGGAAAATAACTGATAAGAACATATGCATGCACTTTTAACTAACTAGTGTGCTGTTTTTAAAAATTTTGAGTTGCCTAAATATGCCCAGAACTCCAGTCTTACAGAGTTAAGGGAAAAACAAAGATATTTTCAGGAACTTTTTTGCACTTTAAAAATCACTGATTGAAGATTGAGTACAAAATGGAGGAAGTAAAAAAGATAAGAATTCTGACCTGAGTTAGTTGAATATTTGAAGATACATACATATATACACATATAAAAATTGCATTATGTACACACACATATATAAATAAGCATATGGTTTATGTTAGAGTTTACAAAATGATTTTACAACAATGCTTTGAATTTTAAAATGTTTCTGTAACTTGCCCAAGATCACACAAGCTAGGGTGTGGCAGAGGTGAAACTTATACTCAGGTTTTCTGATTGTAGTACATTTTCCATCACATCACAGTTTTATTCCTTGGAAAAGAGGTGAGTTTGCATGTTATTATCTGAGACCAAAGGGGTGTTAATAGCATGAATATTGGAAAAATGGTTTGAATCCTATATGATCTTCTAAAAGAAGATTGTTTATTTTCATATAGAAATTCACCCATATTTTTCAGTGTATCTGAATCATAATGATCTCTTGATAAATCTCTTCAACCTATCTACCACAACTATATATTGTGGTTTGATAGAGTTTTTGTAACTTTGCACAGGATATGGCATGAGGAATTGTAAGTCCTTTTTATAGTACAAAATGTAATGTATATGTTCATTCTCCCTCCTGGATATTCTTTTATTTGGACTTTCTGTGTAATACAGAATTAACTAAGATTTCAATATTTATGGTCAGTTCTCAACTGTTAAGGTTATACATATTAATCTCTTATAAGCCTATATAAAAGTCCCAGTTTTGATGCCCTTAATTTATTTATATATGGTTTTGGTTTTAGGTTGGCTTTGATATGAGTAAAGAAGCTGCCAGAAAGTGCTATGAGAAATCTGGCCTGAGACCAAGTGATATTGATGTAATAGAACTTCATGATTGCTTTTCCACCAATGAACTTCTTACTTATGAGGCACTGGGACTCTGTCCAGAAGGTAATATCTTTGATGAGATGCAGATTAACTTACTACATGTCACTGAGAACATTTCACTTTCATCATAAAACAAAACAATTCACTAATTGCCTTTCCCTCCATGTTGACTCTGCCACACTGTGCAAAGCGAATGGAAGCTATCCTGATCTTGGACTTTTAGAACATGTAGTCTTGGACAGTACCAAATGAGATGACAAAGTATACAAATAATTTGTTTTATGTAAATCAGGGGTACTTGTAATGCACTGTTAAGTAAAAAAAAAAAAAGGATAAAAAAAATCACATATGTAATTCCAGCTATTTCAAACTGTGTTTGAATAAAGACCTGAAGAAAGGAAAATGGAAAGACTAGTTGGTGGGATCTGGAGGATTTTTTTTTTTCCTTTTTGTTTTTAAAGTGGTTGTACCATTTTCCATTACTATTAGCAGTATGTGAGATTTCAGTTGTTTCACATTCTCATCAACACTTGATGTGGTCAGTTTTTAAATTTCAGCCATTCAAAAGAGTATATAGTGGTGTTTTATTTTAGTTTTATTATGCATGTCCCTCATGAATAGTGATGTTGAGCATCTTTTCTTGTGCTTGTTGGTCATTCATATATCTTTTGTGAAGTGTCTGTTCAGACCTTTTGCCCTTTGATTATTGGGTTACTTGTCTTTATTGTGTTGTAACATTTATATAAATGTATATTCTGGATGCAAGTAATTTGTCTGATATATGTGGGCTGTGAATGTTTTCTCCCAGTCTGTGGCTTACCTTTTTGTTTTATTAATAGTGTCTTTTGAAGGACAAATTAAAAATTTTTTGATTATCAATTACATATTTTCTTATCAATTTTTTTAATGGTTCAGGCCTTTTACATTCCAAGAAACTTGCCTACTGCAAGGTTGTAAAGATTTTCTTCTATTTTTATTCTAGGAGTTCTGTAGTTTTAGATTTTACATTTAAGTACGTGATCTATTTTGAGTCAAGTTTTATGTTTGGTGTAAGGTAAAGGTTGATATTACTCTTTTTTTCCCCATACACATATTCAGCACCATTTATTGGAAGGACTTTTCTCTCCCCATTGAATTGCCTTGGCACCTTTGTCAAAAATTGCCCATATATGTGAGGGTCCGTTTTTGGATTCTCTGTTCTATTCCAATGATCTACATGTCTACCTTTTCACCAATACCAAGTTAGTTTGGCTACTGTGTTTATTCTACTACACTCTACTATACTATACTATATCAGATAGGATAAGTTCTCCAATTTTGTTCGTTTTAAAAATCATTTTGTTTATTTTAGGTCCTTTGCATCTCCATGTACATATTAGAATTAGTTTGTCAATTTCTACAAAATAAAAAGCTTGCTGGAATTTTCATTGAGTCTGTAGATTGATTTAGAGAGAATTGTCATCTTAACAATGTTGAATCTTCCAGTCCATTAGATGTGTATATGTTTCCATTTGTTTAGCTCTCCTTTAACTTCTATTAGAATGTTTGTAGTTTTCAGTATAGCCCTTAGGTGTCTTTTGTTAGGTTTATTCCTTGGTATTTTATGGGTTTTGGCATAATTTTTTTTTAACCTTCATTTTCCAATGTTTGCTGATAGTATAGAAGAATACAATTGATTAAAAAAAACTTGGAAACTGTAACTTTGCTAAATTCATTTGTTCTAGTCGTTATTTTGCAGATTATGAGTGATTTTTCATATAAACAATCATGCCATTCGCCAATGACAGTTTTTTGTCTTCCTTTCTGATCTTTTTATTTTTTCTTACCTTACTGCAATGACTGTGAGCTCTAGTACCATACTGAATAGAAGAGGTGAAAGTGGGCATCATTACCTTATTCATGATCTCAGGGGATGCACTTTAATATTTTACCATTATGTATAATGTTAGCTATAGGTTTTTTGTTGATACCATTTATCATGTTGAGAAAGTTCCTTACTATTCTTAGCCTGCTGAGGTTTTTTATTTTGTTGTTGTTTTGTCATCAAGGGGTGTTGAATTTTCAAAAAATTCTTCTGCATCTATTAAAATGATCTATGTGGATTTTGTCCTTTATTCTTTTCACATGGTGAATTACATTAATTTTGAATGTTAATCTAAACTTATATTTCTGGGATTAATCTTACCTTTTAATATATTGTTAGAATCAATTTGCTAGCATTTTGTTAATGAAATTTGTTCATATATTCATAAAGGATATTTGTCTGTAGTTTTCTTTTTTTCCAAGTTGCTTTATTCCAGTCTCATAAAATAAATTGAGCAGTGGTCACTCATTCTCTATTTGCTGAAGTAGTTTCTGTAAGATTAGTGTTAGTTCTTCCTTGACTGTTTCATTACCAGTATAATCAAGTAGATTAAAATTTTCTTTGGGGGGGATGTTTTCAATAAATTAAAATTTCTTAATAGATATAGGCCTGTTTATAATTTTATTTATTTACTTATTTTTTAACATCTTTATAGGAGTATAATTGCTTTACAGTGGTGTGTGAGTTTCTGCTTTATAAAAAAGTGATTCAGCTATACATATACATATATCCCCATATCTCCTCCCTCTTGCATCTCCCTCCCACCCTCCCTATCCCACCCCTCTAGGTGGTCACAAAACACTGAGCTGATCTCCCTGTGCTATGTGGCTGCTTCCCACTAGCTATCTATTTTACATTTGGTAGTGTATATATGTCCATGCCACTCTCTCACTTCGTCCCAGCTTACACTTCCCTCTCCCCGTGTCCTCAAGTCCATTCTCTACATCTGCACCTTTATTCCTATCCTGCCCCTAGGTTCTTCAGAACATTTTTTTTTATATTCCATATATATGTGTTAACATACGGTATTTGTTTTTCTCCTGACTTACTTCATTCTGTATGACAGACTCTGGGTCCATCCACCTCACTACAAATAATTCAATTTCATTTCTTTTTTATAGCTGAGTAATATTCCATTGTATATATGTGCCACACCTTCTTTATCCATTCATCTGTCGATGGACACTTAGATTGCTTCCATGTCCTGGCTATTGTAAATAGAGCTGCAATGAACATTGTGGTACATGACTCTTTTTGAATTATGGTTTTCTCAGGGTGTATGCCCAGTAGTGGGATTGCTGGGTCGTATGGTAGTTCTATTTTTACTTTTTTAAGGGACGTTGGTACTATTCTCCACAGTGGCTGTATCAATTTACATTCCCACCAACAGTGCAAGAGTGTTCCCTTTTCTTCACACCCTCTCCAGCATTTATTGTTTGTAGATTCTTTGATGATTGCCATTCTGACTGGTGTGAGGTGATACCTCATTGTAGTTTTGATTTGCATTTCTTTAATGATCAGTGATGTTGAGCATCCTTTCATGTGTTTGTTGGCAATCTGTATATCATCTTTGGAGAAATGTCTATTTAGGTCTTCTGCCCATTTTTGGATTGGGTTGTTTGTATTTTTGAGATTGAACTGCATGAGCTGTTTATATATTTTAGAGATTAATCCTTTGTCAGTTGCTTCATTTGCAAATATTTTCTCCCGTTCTGAGGGTTGTCTTTTGGTCTTGTTTCTGGTTTCCTTTGCTGTGCAAAAGCTTTTAAGTTTCATTAGGTCCCATTTATTTTTGTTTTTATTTCCCTTTCTCTAGGAGATGGGTCATAAAGGATCTTGCTGTGATTTATGTCATAGAGTGTTTTGCCTATGTTTTCCTCTAAGAGTTTGATAGTGTCTGGCCTTACATTTAGGTCTTTAATCCATTTTGAGTTTATTTTTGTGTATGGTGTTAGGGAGTGTTCTAATTTCAGTCTTTTACATGTAGCTGTCCAGTTTTCCCAGCACCCCTTATTGAACAGGCTGTCTTTTCTCCATTGTATATTCTTGCTTCTTTTATCAAAAATAAGGTGACCATATGTGCGTAGGTTTATCTCTGGGCTTTCTATACTGTTCCATTGTTCTGTATTTTCTATTTTTGTTCCAGTACCATACAGTCTTGATTACTGTGGCTTTGTAGTATAGTCTGTAGTCTAGGAGCCTGATTGCTCCAGCTCCATTTTTCTTTCTCAAGATTGTTTTGGCTATTCGGGGTCTTTTGTGTTTCCACACAAATTGTGATATTTTTTGTTTTAGTTCTTTGAAAAATGCCATTTGGTAGTTTGATAGGGATTGCATTGAATCTGTAGATTGCTTTGGGTAATATAGTCATTTTCACAATGTTGATTCTTCCAATCCAAGAACATGGTATATCTCTCCATCTGTTTGTATCATCTTTAATTTCTTTCATCAGTCTTACAGATTTCTGGATACAGGTCTTTTGTCTCCTTAAGTAGGTTTATTCCTAGGTATTTTATTCTTTTTGTTGCAATGGTAAATGGGAGTATTTCCTTAATTTCTCTTTCAGATTTTTCATCATTAGTGTATAGGAATGCAAGAGATTTCTGTGCATTAATTTTGTATCCTGCTGCTCTACCAAATTCATTGATTAGCTCTTGTAGTTTTCTGGTAGCATCATTACGGTTCTCTATGTATAGTGTCATGTCATCTGCAAACAGTGACAACTTTACTTCTTCTTTACTGATTTCGATTCCTGTTATTTCTTTTTCTTCTCTGATTGCTGTGGCTAAAACTTCCCAAACTATGTTGAATAATAGTGGTGAGAGTGCACAACCTGGTCTTGTTCCTGATCTTAGAGGAAATGGTTTCAGTTTTTCACCATTGAGAATGATGTTGGCTGTGGGTCTGTCATATGTGGCCTTTATTATGTTGAGTTAAGTTCCCTCTATGCCTACTTTCTGGAGGGTTTTAATCATAAATGGGTGTTGAATTTTGTCGAAACCTTTTTCTGCACGTATTGAGATGATCATGTTGTTTTTTGTTCAATTCGTTAATATGGTTTTTCACACTGATTGATATGCGTGTATTGAAGAATCCTTGCATTCCTGGGATAAACCCAACTTGATCATGGTGTATGATCCCTTTAATGTGCTGTTGGATTCTGTTTGCTAGTATTTTGTTGAGGATTTTTGCGTCTATA